TATATATATACACAGACCCTTTCCAAAAAAAAAAATAGAAAATTATGGAGAAGTTGTTTAACTTCCATAATTCCATTCAAAAAGTTAATCTTCAATAGACTTTAATAGATGATAAATTCAGGACTCACAATTTAAACGATTTCAAGTATTTATGTTTTTAATTTTACATAATTTGGGCTTCCAGCTCATGAAACCCACAAAAACAGGATTAAAAAAAAGAAGAATACTGTGGAAAAATCCGCCCACACTACTCAGTTTTTGCAGGAAAAAAAATTAGCATCACAACAAATCAATCAATCTATGGTACTTTCAAAACAATATGTCAATCTTCAGTACTTGGTTGGAAATCTCTTTGCCTTAATCACTGCCTCGATGTGACGTTGCATTGAGGCAATCAGCCTGTGGCATTGACTGGGAGTAATGAAAGTGCAGATTTCATTGATGCTTGCTGTCAGCTCTTCTTTGTTGTTGGGTCTGGTGCCCCTCATGTTCCTCTTGAGAATACCCCAGAGATTCCCAATGGGGTTTAGGTCCAGCGAGTTGGCTGGCCAGTCAAGCACTGTGGCAGGGGCATCAAACCAGGTTTTGGTGCTTCTGGCGGCACGGGCAGGGGCCAGGTCCTGCTTGAAGATGAAATCTGCATCTCCATACAGATCCTCAGCAGAAGGAATCATGAAGTCCTCTAAAACATTCTGGTAGACTGTTGTGGTGACCTTGGATTTAAGAAAGCAAAGTCTACCAACACCTGCACCGGACATTACACCCCAAACCATGACTGACTGCGGATATTTCACACTGGACCTCAAGCAGGATGGGCTCTGTTCCTCACCCTTCTATCTCTAAACCCTTGGACCTTGATTCGCGAACGAAAGGCACACTTTACTTTCATCGGAAAAGAGGACCGAGGAACCCGACAGTTGTTGCCCATCTCCCAGATGCGTCTGAATGTGGTGGTTTTTGAAGCTGTGACTCCCGCCTCAATCCACTCTTTCTGGATCTCTGCCAGATTCTGGAATCTTCTCTGTTTGATAATCTGCTGAAGCCCACATCATCTCTTTTGCTGGTGCATCTTCTCCTGCCACATTTTGCCCTTCCACTAGACTTTCCATTGATATGCTTGGACACAGCACTCTATGAACAGCCAGCCTCCTTAGCTATGGACTTTTGTGGCTTACCCATTCTATGGAGGGTATCAATGATGGTCTTCTGGCCAGTTATGTCAGCAGTCTTCCCCATATTGAACCGAACTGAGATAATTGTTGTTGAGGTTTTATTGGCGGTTGGCAAATTCTCAAGTTGGTTATTTGTAATTCTTCTGCCTATTAATTACCCATCCAAAACTCCTTGTCTCCTTTATCTCTTTTTCCCAACATGGTTTTAAAGTTTCTATTGTCAGATAGTTAGACTAATTCCCTTGTAAACTGATCCAGTAGCTTATAGCTAATTGTGTTCTCCTTAATTCTAATGGCATTTCTCCCATCTCAACTTTAATTGCTGCTGTAGGGGGGGGGGGGGGGGTTTGAATGCTCCAGTACAAATCCTTAGCGTCAGTTTTTCCAGACATGTCTTCGCCGCTGACCCATAAACAGTACTTCCATAATCTATATTTGATCTGATCAAACCTATGTAAATTCTTTTTAAAGCCCCTCTTTCTGCCCCCCAATCACTTCCTGCTAAACATCTCATAATCTTTAGAACTTTTTTATATTTATCAATAATTTTTTGTATATGAATACTCCATGTTATGTTCTCATCAAGCCATATTCCTAAGAACTTTATACATTTTACTCATTCTAATTCTTGATTATACAATTTAATTTTAACATCCTTTATCTGTTTTTTCTGTGTAAACATCATCACCTTTGTTTTTTCCACAGAGAATTTAAACCCCCATTGAAATGCCCATTTCTCTATTTTAACAATAGCATCTTGAATTTTTTTTAGCAGTAAAGTCTACATTACGTCCCCTCTTACCAAATGGCTCCATCATCCGCAAAAAGTGAACAGCCCATTCCCTTTTCAATTTCTGCAAAAACATCATCTATCATTATAGAAAACAGTAATGGGCTTATAATGCTGCCCTGCGGTGTTCCATTTTCAACTGTATATTTTTTAGAAAGATGTTGACCTATTCTAACTTGTAAATTTCTATTTGATAAGAAATCCTTAATCCAATTAAACATTTTACCATTAATACCCAATTTACGCATTTTGATTAATAATCCTACCCACAGCATGTCATAGGCTTTTTCTATGTCCAAAAATACTGCAAAATCCATTTCTTTATTTACCTGTGCTCTCCTAATTTCATATTCCAGACATATTGTTGAATCATATGTATTACGGCCTTTTCTAAACCCACGTTGATATTTAGACATATATCCTTTCATATTTAAATAATATGTTAATCGATCATTAATCATTTTTTCCATTATTTCAGAGAGTCAGAGTCAGAGTTTCTTTATTGTCATTCGCACCTCATGTGGTACATGTGGTGGAGCGAAATTATGTACACAGGGTCCCAGTTACATCTAACAATAAAATGTATAAGAAAAACAGTAATGACATCTAAGATATGAACTAAGAAAAACATCAACTAAATATACACTAAGCACTCATAACATAAAACATTGAACATCAGCACAAACATGAACATGAGTCTGTGAGCAGATGTGCACGCATGAACACATCAACATTGAAACAGATCAGCAGCAACATGAAACAGATCAGCAGCAACATGATATGGTTTTTCACAGTGATTATTCTAGTTAGAGATTCATGAGTCTAACAGCCTCAGGGTAGAAGCTGTTCCTCAGTCTAGTGGTTCTACACTTAATGCTCCTTAACCTCCTTCCTGAGGGGAGTGGGGCAAAAAGTGAGTGTGCTGGGTGGGTGGGGTCCTTCATGATGCAGGTGGCCCTCTTCCTGCATCTGGAGGTGTAGATGTCTGTGATGGTGGGGAGGCTGATTCCAACAGATTTCTGTGCAGCCTTCACCACTCTCTGCAAAGCTTTTCTTTCTGCAGCTGTGCAGCCTCCATGCCACACATTGATGCTGGAGCACAGGATGCTCTCCACTGCACACCTGTAGAAGGAGGTGAGGACTGAGCTTCCCAGACCAGCTCGCCTCAGCCGTCTGAGGAAGTAGAGTCTCTGATGAGCTTTCTTGATCAGGCTGGTGGTGTTGTTGCTCCAGCTGAGGTTGTCATTCATGTGTACACCCAAGTACTTGTAGCTGGAGACCACTTCCACCGCAGATCCTCTTATGTTCAGGGGGGTGTAGGTGTTTTTGTTCCTTCTGAAGTCCACAATCATCTCCTTTGTCTTCTTCACATTGATGTGAAGGTTATTCTCTCTGCACCAGCTCTCCAGGTGTTCCACCTCTTGCCTGTAGCTGGACTCATCATTGTTTGTGATGCATCCCACCACCGCTGTATCATCTGCAAACTTTACAATGTGACAGCCTGGATGGGTAGCTGCACAATCATATGTGAGCAGAGTAAACAGAAGGGGGCTCAACACACATCCCTGAGGAGAGCCAGTGCTGAGGGTTATGGTGGAGGAGGAGAGGTTGTGGATCCTCACTAACTGTGGTCTGTTTGTTAAAAAGTCTAGTACCCAGTTGCAGATGGAGGGGCTTAGTCCTAGTGTGGATAGTTTGTCCATCAGGGTTTGGGGGATCATGGTGTTGAAGGCGGATGTGAAGTCCACAAAGAGCATACGGACGTAAGAGTTTTTCTGCTCCAGGTGGTTGAGTGCAGTGTGGACCACAGAGGAGATTGCATCCTCTGTTGATTTTACATATATTTGAAATTAATGCAATGGGTCTATAATTTCCTGGTTTCGTTCTGTCCTTACCTGGTTTAGCTATTTGAACAATAACTGATTCCTTCCAACTTAGTGGTAGTTTCCCCTCCTCCCAGACTTTATTATACATCTCTAAAATAATGTCTTTGGCTGTTTCACTAAGATGTTCTATCATTGTATACCATACTTGATCTATCCTGGGTGCTGTTTTCTTGGTTTTCCTGAGTGCACGATTTAATTCTGCTTTTGACTGAGACAACTGAACCAAACTGAAGCAATAATGACACCTGGGGAAACCTGTCCATGTGTTTTGTGTTTAGATGATTAGTGTGTCCCACTAAAACATTCATGCCCTGCAACATTTGGGCTGATTTCTAAACAGTATTCTATTTTTTATTTATTTTTTCCTGTTTTTGTGGGTTTCATGAGCTGGAAGCCCAAATTATGTAAAAATAAACAAATAAACTTGAAATTGTTTAAATTGTGAGTTCTTAATCTATCATCTATTCAAGATGAATTTTTTTGAATGGAATTATGGAAGTGAAACAACTTTTCCATGATATTCTAATTTTTTGGAAAGGGTCT